TTATTAAGTGTTACCTTTTCTCATTGGTGTGAATCCATTAACGATTTATTATGTAACACTTGTAAAACGAATGATAAGATATTTAAAAGAGAATTAACGTTGACAAAAGACATACTTATCATTCATTTTCTATTATTTTCAGATGGCAAAGGAATACCAGCAAACAAACTAAATATACGTGCTATACCAACGACTAAAGTGTCAATAAGTGGAAAGCTATATAAAGTCATGAATGCCATATTTCATAATGGGCTATGTATTGAAAACAATCATTATACAAGTATGTGTAGAGAAGAAAAATCTAGCTGGCTTGGAATTGATGATATGCAAGTTAAAAAACACCAATGGCCAAAAAATGCTAAGAATGTTTATATTCTTTTCTTAGAAAAAATAAATAAATAAATGTGTTACAATTGTTGAGATTAAATTTATTTTAGTTTACTATTCTCGAAAAACTTAACTTTAAAAAAAAGATAAAAACAGGCGTCAAGTACACGCACAACACGTATTGTATTTAATTTAAATACTACAAAACACTCTTTCCCTGGTGAAAAACCTGTTTCACCAAAAAAAGTGATATCAAAAAGTAGCACCAAGTAAACTTTTGTACGTTTTTTTTTACATACTACTAAACCTTCTTTTTTTATAAAACCTGTTTTCCAAAATAGAAAATGTGTAATATCTCAAAAAACTACTTTTTCAAAAATATAATTTCAGTTAAACAAGAAAAATTTATTTTACTATTAAATAAATGTGTTACAATTGTTGAGATTTAAGTTTATTTTAGCTTACTATTCTCGAAAAACTTACCTTTCAAATAAAAGGTAAAAACAAGCGCCAAGTAAACGCACAACACGTATTGTATTTTTATTTAAATATTTAAATACTACAAAACGTTCTTTCTCTAAAAATCTGTTTTCCAAAAAAAGTGATATCAAAAAGTAGCACCAAGTAAACTTTTGTACGTTATTTTTTATATCAAAAAGTAGCACCAAGTAAACTTTTGTACGTTATTTTTTATATACTACTAAAACTTCTTTCTCTATAAAACCTGTATTACAAAATAGAGAATGTTATTCTTTTCTTAGAAAAAATAAATTAAGAAACAATATAAAACAATAGGAAATATAAAATAATTTTTTTATCATATACTACAAAGAATTCTTTCTCTACAAAAAACATTTACAAAAAAGATGATATCAAAAAGTAGCACCAAATAAACTTTTGTACGTTATTACATTATTGAAAACAATAATAAACCTATGAAAACAATAATAAACCTATGTAGAATTTATAGATCACGTTTTATATCCAAAGTACTTCGTCTTATGAATCTCACTATGCCTGAAACGTCGAAACTTCATGTAAAACTATATCAAGAGGCACGGTAGTGCCTCGCGCCAAGTTCACGCGCAACGAAGTTGCGCTCGAACTGAGCGAGCACGCCGTGCCTATTATACGCGAAAATCAGGCATTTTAGTGGAGGGGAGATGTTTAATAAGCAATTATTTAATAA